ATAATTTAATATCAATTAGCTAATCAAATCGAATTAAGGTAATTTGGTACCAAGTGACAACCTATAGTCTGATACAATGAAATACTTTGGTAAATGGTTAGAACCACGAAAAAAACTTTCCCGAGAGCCGAAAACTGTTCCAGTTGATCTCTATAATTATAGTTACAAGCTCGTTATTTTAGACACATGCACGTTCAGTGTGATCATAATATAATGTTGCTTTAGTAATATAACACTGTTCAAGAACAAACTTATCATAATATATATTATGCATCAGAAGTTAGTACAATATCATATTGTTCTTTGATCTACATACGCGTATTTCCGATGCTTGCTAGATTGAACAGTGCCCGCGAGGTGCAGAAAACGTCATCGGTTTGGTTTTGGCACCGTGCTACAAGACGCAATGCAGTCGGCTTCGATGTGGTGCTCGCGTAAATAATAATAAGACGTAATATTATATAGACGTTCATAATATACAATAATAATATACGACGCTTAATTATCAGTCGACCGAAGATCACCTTGCCCGGCAATAATGACAATTATTATTATTATGGTAATACGTCCGCTACATACGACTATACGAGCACAAAGCTGTGCATGTATATTGAAATATCGTACCTGTTTTTGATTAGTACTCTTACCACGACGTCTGTTATGTAAATGTTGTGTGACTTGTGTTTCGACCTCGGTGGCGATGGTCTGCGATGAGCCGAAAAATACACTCTCGCATACTCGCATTTGGTGGCGATTTCTCGGTTGGGCGGTGGTCGTGACATATAAAGCAATTATAAATTATAATTCGTCCGCAATTGATGAATAAATTACGTCAGGGCAAACGGCCGTCGTAATCCTTTGGACGAAATATATGGCTTGTAAATTGTCAAACTCGCGCTATGGTGGAAAGTACTGCGCTTGTAATAATAATGACGTGCCATACCTATATTACATTGTACTGAAGTACCTTACGCGCAGTAAATATTATTTGTGTGACTTTCGTATTTCGTCAAAAAACGCTMTACATAATATTACATCGTTTGTAGGGTTAAGTTGAAAAATTCAAAACGCTTTATATTTGTGTGAGTTGTCTGAATATTATGTCTATATATTCTTAAGATGCGACCATTTTACCACAAAAAGCAAATTACATTGATGTCTTATTGAATATCTATAATATTATCACCAAACAGTGGCGTATATTTAAATAGTTTTTTTGGTGGACTATAATATATAGCAACTGGCAAGTAACAAATTTTCTAGCACCCAGAGGCTACTATATATTTAACACTTACTACTGAAATTTCAGGAGGGCTACAGCCTACTAGCCCCCCATATATACGACACTGCCACCATATATTAATCATAATATTTTGTGATAATATATACCTCACGTAAACTGCCTGGAAATGGTTTTATTTCGTTAATGACTTTGGAATAATAATATTATTATTTGCCTCTATATTATGATGTAGACATTTTACGTCAACGGGTTTTGTTTTGTTTCCGCGTTTTAATGAAAGTAGTATAATATATTATATACAAACGACGGTCGTCGCAGTATCAATTATTTTGTTCTACACATCGTTATTGGCAGAAAAGAAAAGAAACTGTATATACTGCAGTAATGTAAACTTGTCAGCCGTCGCCATTAAATAATACATCACCGTAACTTTACTGTTACACATATTGTATCAATTTAAATATACAAATGTGTATATACCTTTAAAACGTGTACTAACGCCGCCGTTGTTTGCTTGCCACTCGCAAACTTTTCACTTTTAAATCGCGTGTAGGTACGAGATTGTTTATTTTTATTAATAATAATAGTAATCGAGCTTTCGATGGGAAAACAGTTTTTCCAAGCTGACTTTCGAGTATATATTATATACCTATAAATAGGTATGAGGTAATCACGGTACACATACCAATGTCGAAACGATTATTATTGTTGAAGTTGCTTTTTTTTTCTTCTCTCATACTTTTCAATAGATATAATCGAACGTGATTGGCGTGTGTTTGTAGAGTTTGACGTACACGCGGCACACACGGACGATTTCTACAGTTGTTGGTAATTTTGGGCAATAATATTATAATAAATATATATATATATATACATTTTTTTTCAAACAATTAAAGGATCCTATATACCGTAAAGTTTTCCGTTTCAACTGATGATTTGTTTGCGCAAATTCGTTGAAACATATTTCATTGGACTGTCAGCCGTATATAATAAGCGATGACGGTTTTATTTTACCCGGCTCTCTTCTTTTTGTTAAACGAGATTAAGCTGCTGTTGCATGACATGCTCGAAACCGAAACATTGTTCCGAAAATAACATTGAATCTTTCGTGTATTGTCCGTGATATAAATTGCATTCCCTGCTTTTACCCCGCAAAAATTATAACTGCTTTATAGCTTGTAAACTTTATTACTCTGTTACGCGTCAGCTGCAGTATGATACGAACAACGGTACTTATGACCGCCACCGCCGCCGCCATCATCCATGTAGTTTTCAGTAATCCGCCAGACAGTGTCCTTTAAAAAGCAATCCTGGCCTAAATCAAAACTCGACCAGGATTGCTTTTTTTATTGTCGGGATGTAGCTGGTTTTCGTAAAGATGTGTATGGACGTGTCGAAAATAATATAATAATAATATTATACGTGTGAAGATCTACGCCACCTTTCAGTTTTTATTAATGAACAGCACCAATTACACGATCTCGCCTACCATTACCTTGTTCGCGGTGACGATTGGGATGAGATAGAATGAAAGAGAAAAAACGAAATCTTTGTGAGTATCATGGAGGACCATTTGCATCATGGTTTTTCAGCCATGCGCGTATATTGGATATATAAATTCTGGACTATAATATTGATAACACGTATGGATGAATAAACTTAATGTAAATTATGTTCCATGACACTTTCAAATGTATAATTGATTCTCTTTCGGACTTTCGTCCACTTGTATCATAATCATCATATGATCTAAGTTCGTCCATCGGTTTCTCTCTCTAAATTTTATCCATTAGTTTATACCTAGTATGCTTAGCATAGTATCTACTCAACTGACGTCTCATTACGATATTTACGTATAGATAAATACTGACTACCGTATATTTTCGTGGATAAACTACAATATTTTAATATTTTTTCTTACAGCATGCAATCGAACTTATTACGGAGATGTCGGAAAAACGTACGAATTTGAATTACATCGTCCGAAACCCGACAAATTACCATTCATCTGTTTTATAAAACTCGTGGCACCAGGTCATCATTTGGGAGATTTAATACAAGTGAGCATATTATATTATTATGTAATAACCACAATAGTAACCTTATAAAATTTGGAGTTATGGTTAAGTATGACAAAAGTAATATGGTACTTATATTTTTAATTTAATATAACACGGCCAGATAGTCTTGAATTTTGTATGTAGGTACTATATATATCTAAATTAGAAGATCCAGATTCCCAGTTTGAAATCCTATGTACAGCATGATTTATAAAACAATAAACACTTATTTTCTCAAAAATATTAATATTTTTGCAAATTTGTTTCATATTATTTGTAGATGCTGTAAAAAAAAAACATTTTTGAAAAAAATAATTTTTTACTTACCATTTTTCATCTCGATATAATTTTTTCGGGAAATTATTAACGTTGGAATAGAAATACAAGCGTTAACCAAATAAATATTAAATCATGAAAATTATGTAAATTTGAAATTATTCAAGTATTACTTTTGGAATAAATAATATTTTAGCATAATGTCAATGACAGTACTTTAAGTTATTCAATTATTTCAATTCAGCTAAAAATTCACTTGAAGAAATACCGAAAGTGAATAAATTTTACTTTTAGAATAGAAAATTAAATAAATGCGAATTAAACAATCGTATTTATGAATCACGTTTATTATGTAATAAAACGATATTAATTTATTAAATTCAGAAATCAGTTATTCAATTACAATCATATTGTGTTTTCTATACTAATATCTTTATAGTTATTCTTGTGGGTAAGTAAATTAGACTGGTTAAATGCAACAGAATTATACTATATTATAATTTGATAGTTGATTGGTACTAAAAATTTACTATTTTAACATGTTTCCTTACTTATTATTAAAGTAATTTAGTGGATTGACCATTATATAAATGATAAAAAGTTATTTGATTCTGTTAAAAATGTCCAGGAGGATCCCTGAAAATTAAGAAAAACTTATATGTGACACTGAGCAATTATTATTATTTGTTATCAACGAATACTGTATTATTATATTATAAGATAGGGTTTGGTGTTACACGTTGGTTGGCCGCAGTCATTGACGTATTCTGAGACCAATCATCACCTGCAGGCGTTGCCAGTTCCTGGATTGGTGACCACACGGGTTTTACTGTTTTTACTGACGAGTGTATACGTGTTCCAAACCAACTTTAACCTCCCCCCATCATCAAAAAAAGCGTGCTAATAATCATGTAGTTTATGTCTTACAAATAATAATAATAAAAAAAATAGTATAAGAAAATAATATATTTAATTATTAAATAAAAAATAAGACATTGTGAACATCGTTCGTTATTCATTGTAGTATATTATCCTTGAGAATAGTAATGGAAAACTATATAAATTAATATTATTTATATAATAGTTTAATGTTTTATTTTATTGCGGAATTATGGGTAGGTTTTATATTTAAAACAAACATTAAACATGCATGTTATAAATGACAATTGGTTGGAATATTGTTTTTAAAATCTTATTCAAATACAATTAAGACTTAGTATGCACATTTGTAATGTATAGAAATTATTTTATAAAACTTTAGTTATCGATTTAGTAAAATATATTTATATCAGTGAAAAATCAGACTTGTTGAATTTGAATCTATACCTATCAAAAATAAATGTATAAAACTTTTTATTGTGTTGGCCTAAAATATTTTAATGAGTACCTAGTTACATCTAGAAAAACACCATTTCGATTATGCATTTTAAATTTCGTATAACATAATACAACTATTTTTTTTTTACAAATCACATCTTTATTACAACCCATATTTTTAATGAATCAGTTATTTTATTCCATTTGCCTATAATTAAATAACGAAGTTATATGAATTACTTTCAAAATGTACAAAAGTATTGAATACACAACATATAATATATGATATAATGAATCATGAACAATATTTATTACCAATTGTTTATTTTAATGGGATTGAATTTGCAATAATATTATCTTACTCGTAAATTTAAATAAATACGATATTACATAAATAATTGCGAAATAGATGCCGTGACTAACTGATTTTTTTCTMAATGGTTACTTTCAATTCTAAGATCGGATTGAAACAGCTTCGAAAGTGTCAGTTGTTTTCTAATCACCTGATTGAGGATATTGCATTTATTTTTTAATTAAACTTTTAACTATTTGTAAAATCAAAGACTAAGTATGTTAGTTTAAAAATTGTTTTAAGTTTTTAAATTAACTATCAATAGAGGATTTAATTCATAAGTAATTATATATAATAATAATGCTATATTTTTAAATTACATGTATATAATATACTTTGTGAAAAGAACAAAATAGGGTAATACAAATTATGTTATGCAATAGTGATATCGATCAATGTTAATGTCCCAGAAAATAAAACGGTCCGTGCCAATTTTACTTCTGTGAAAAAGGACGTGAAATACATATGTATGTTGTATTATAATTTATTTGGAAGAGCAAACTTCCATTTTGCGAACGGCGAAAAGTGTGGACGGGTATTTATTTTCGATTGGCCATTGTGCGTTATTACACAAATGAAACTAATGTGGGAATCGTTTAAGATTTAATTTTTTTTTTTTGATTAAATTTGAACTTTTAAGGTTTGGTAAAAATATATTTTCAATTTAAGAGAGTACCACATCGAGAGTATGAATTATGTGGCACGCATTATATTTAAGATCATACTTTCGTAAAAATGGTAAAATCGGTTTTGTGTAAAACTTCTAATATAATAAATTATATAGTATTATATCTGTTATTAAACGTAAGGTACTCGAATTTTTTATTTAATATCCCGATAATAAAATATAAGCTATGAGTATCGAGAGGCGCAAATAATAATTGTTGTAAAGTGTTAAAACCAAATTTCCTGTAATCTATATTCAAATTTACAACATTATTACGTCACATTATATTATACATTTATCATTTGTATACGCTGTCTTATATAATCAAGGATCTATTAATAAAAAAACAGAAGAAGTTATAAGTAATATAAATAATTTGGTATTTTGAATGTTATTTTTTTCTTGGACTGATTATGTCATAATAGATTTTTTTAGGTTAATATAAATATTAGCATTAATCTATTTTTAACTAAATGATTAATTTATTTTTACATTTATGTAGGTACTTTAAATTATTTATAGATACATTATTTAACCATGGCTCATTATATTCGTATGTTCTAATATTTTTGATCCGTCGTAGTCTTTTAAAAGTTTGATAAGGAAGAAAAAGTTTTTCAGCACTATCTATTCATATAGTCTAACTTCTAAATTCCAGTATTATACCTAGTGATAAAGTGCATGAAAGTTTTTTTTTTTATTGAGAAAAAACTCAGCACAGTGCTCTAACGGTTTAACTAGAAAAAATGAAGAAAAAAAATGGCTGTATATATCTCCTTAGTCAACCCCTACGATTCACTCTTGACTATATACGGTACTTAGATAATATATAAAAGTCGAACTGAACCATAATCCGTCCTAAAATTTCTGGATTAATTACAATTATTAAGACGTTTATTTTATTCTGTTAAAAACTCGGAATAGTGGCGACCGTATTTCCTTCTACAAATACACATATAGTTTTATAATTTATATATTAATATTTTTTCATATTTTTTCATATATTTTTATAGTTAATTAAAATGTAAGTTTTGTAAAAAAAATCCTAAATATAAAATATTGGCAAAATAATAAAGTCAGTAGTCAGGTACCTATCTTCAATTTTATATTATAACTGGAAATCGAATAATGGCAGTGGTGTACCTAAAATGCCTATCCATAACGCCGCGTGTTTATAATAATAGTATTCTTGAAACACTTCAATATTTTTTAATAAATAATAATACTATTTATATAGCTTTTTACTATTTAAAATTTAGATGTTTAGGACGCCAAGTAGTGAACATTTAAAATTATTATTGACAATGGCTACATAATCTAATTTACATAAAGTGCATGCATTCAGCGAATATGAGATATTATGTAAAAAATAAAAACACGTCAAATACATAAAGTGTATCTGAATTTAATTTACATTATATCGTACACAACTTTAAAATGATATCGTTTCTTCATATTTTGCTTTCATATTACTTAGATGATATTAAAAAATATAACAAGTTTCACCTTTTTACAAAATATGTACAACATGGTGAGTTGATATGTTTAATATTAGGTAGAATCCTAGTTGAGATATTATTAAATTTAAAGGTAAGAATATTCTTGGGAATTTCATAGGTTTTTATTTTAAAGGCAGTTTATGAGCGTTATAAAATATCAATAGTTTATATAGTTATATCTCGCTTTAAAATGAATAGGTACCAATAAAAGACCACGAGTTGCCTCAGACAATATACTAGATGGTCTGAACCTTTAAATTTGATGACAGGTCGATTCACTCTAATATTAAAGCTAACATTGCCACAATGTTGATTCTGCTGATCGCAAATCGACAATGATGCATATTTCTACTACAGAACGGATATTATGCAGGTTCTTTATACATTTACATAATATAACGTTATCTAATAATCCTTAAATGTCCCACCTTAAACGTACATAATATAATGCTAGAGTGTACTTAGTTTGATCAAAAATCTGGAAACATTTTCTTCATTAACCACTATAATAACATATTTATAAACTTAATATTTACATTATTATGTGTTTTTTGTTGAGCAGGTGACTTTGGACAGTTTCACCATTGGGCGGTTTGCTTCGTACACAAATGCTGGATGTCCGGATGGTGACCTGCACATCACTGAATCTGACAGGCCGGCTGTGTCTGGTGGATGGTGCGGTACATCTTGGGCACCGGCCCACTACTACAGCGAGACGAATTCTATCACTTTGCTGGTCCGGTTATACACGCTATCCAGCCTGGACAACACGGGTTACAACTTCGACTTCCGACTGGGCTACAAAATGCTTAACCGGAACCGTGCGGTCGTCCGGTACGGCGAACAAAAAATGTTTGCGAGTAAGTCGTCCGAATATTATTAATAATCACAATATGATTTGTTGTAAATAAGTTGTACTATAATACTAAGGACAAAATATTCGATTAAAAAATAATAGTTCCAAGTCAAACGTCCTGGGTTGATTAACTTTTATACTTTATCGTCGTGGTATAAAACGTAATACGTACGACACACAGTATTACATAATATGTTATTAGTATTACTTGACATTGCCATCGTCCAAAAACTGTGATAGACGAACTTGGGCCATGAAAAATTTCAACCCACATAAAATATTATTAAGTACCTTCCGTACTTACCCTATAATGAAAGGTCAAAAGTACCTGGGAAAAATTCAAAAGTGCCATAAAAACTTTTTTTTAAACTTTGGGATATGACTAAAAATATAAGCTCCTGATATACTGCCGTTTGTATAGGATTCGTTAAATATTTGATATTTTACAATCAAAAACCCTATCACACAATCTGTACTACTTTAACCCTATCAGATAGAGTAGGTAGGTAATTTTCAATTTTCGATTATCAAATGAGATGTATGCATCGAGTTTATAAACTTAAATATAATTTTAAGACGTCATTAAATGAATATATAAACGCACAAGTCAAGAATCCAAACCATATTTTTTATATTTTTATAGTACAAAATGCTTTAAATTATCTTATTCACATTATTTTTAAAAAGTGAAAATTACCAAAAATATGCGAGAAATAATTCATATTAAAATACAAAAATGTGAACCAAAATTTTTTTTTTTTATTCCTTTTATATAATATTATATCAGTAAAATAAAGAGTATTAGTTTTATTACCATTTTGTAGCACTTGTAGAAAATTTAATGCAAAAATTATGAAAACCCTATAATATATCTTTATATTATTATTATTAGTATTATAAATTATTACTATTCTCGAACGAACGTGATTTAAATCGCTAAAGCTTGGAATCCTAAAATATTGACGATAATATTCCACCCTCGTGGCTACGGACGTATATGTGTACTGTGCGGGGTAGGAGGTGGGTCACGTATGTGGGTGGCATTGGTCTGTGTGTATTATTAATTGTTCGATGTGAGTTATGCATAGTATAGGTATCATCGCAACCGAGAATCCATCCACGTTCCTGATTATTAAAACGGCTAAAATATAATAAACACAAACGCTCAGTGCAGGTAATATTTACACGACGTGATCGAATACGACTGGCACGCATAGCGAAATTAATATCCGACTGGTAATTAAAATAAATATCCCCTTTGATGCAAGTGACTTATATTTTATTACTGATTAAATCGAAACAGTACACATAACGACATAACCAATATTAATTGTCAATTGTCGCTGTTAAAACACATATTCCGTTTAGCATTCGAATTGTGCATAATATTAAGTTACCGTAAAACGCTTGCAATTTGTAATTACACTAATGTTTATTACTGCAACCCATTAAAACATTACGAAGAGGTTAACTTTTTAATTAACTCAAATTTATCCTCTGTATATGCTTTAGCGCATTAATTGTTAAAAACTATTGTGATTCCAAATTCGTCGTGATAATTTATCAAAAATCGATTTTATATAACGCCAAATCAAAGACCAATATTGGCAAATAAACGGCCAAACAGTGACCAACTACGGCCAATGACGTGGCCTCATAATTTATCTGATCATAGTTTATTATATTAGGCGTAGTTGAAAGCGATAAATCATTTTGTATAATTTACGAGTTACGACATACTATTTCTAACGTAAACATTGTAGAAGTAGGTACTTGCGTAATTATTGAAATAAGTTATAAAAACGGAAATGCTTTTGTGTAAAGTCACACGTAGGTGTATACATAAAGTGTATATCTACATAAGAATTTATGAAAATTAATGTTCATGGCGTGGTGAGAACACTGACAAACGATGTTCAAATGTCGTGTTGATGAAAACCTATCAGTTCGATTTTATATTAAGAGACGTCTCCGGAATCACCAACAAAAGATTCATTATTTTTATGACGGGTCGGAATGAAATATGTCAAAGTGTGTTAGGACGGTTGACATTTTTCATCGTCATATAGATKTGGTGTAGATATTTAAACTATTATTATTATAGAGTCGAGTCGCGATTACTCGAAGTTGAAGTTAGACAAAAATTCACTTCGAGATAGCTAAACTAATTTATCTAAATTAAGTTTTTGGAGAATAAAAAAAAATTTGATTTTTCAAATGTTTCGAGTAATCGCGACTCGACTACTATATTAAATAGCCAAGTAGGACTTGTGGGTAAAATATAATATGTTAGGTAGATAAATCCGTATATTATACAAATGAAAGTTCATAAGACAAAGCTTCATATTCTGTTAATGATAATTAATGGTAGAATAGGATTTTGATTACTTTTCGGAATTCATTTGTGTAGCACAATATAGGACAATAATTACGCACCCGACTGTATTGTTGATAGTTATATACATATAACTATTTTGTTCTTACTTCATAAATGATGAAACGTATGTAGGAAAATTATTTTTTTTTCAACAAAATAATAATAACTTGCCTGCAGCAGTTTAATATCTTTTTTACGGTATTTTTTTTTATCGGAATTCAATATTTATTATTAAATTATTTGCACGTGACTCGGTACGAAATATTTATTTATGAATTATAATAACATAAAATAATAATATAGTTTGTGTACGTCGGGTGGGCAAAACAGATTTATTCTCACAGCGATACAAGGCACACACACATACTGGCAAAATAATGAAAAGATGAGTTTCGACTCAATCCTACATCTCTTGTGTCAAAAGTCTAGTTTGTATATCATATTTTTGCGAAAAATTAATGCGCATGTATTACTGTAGTGCAGTCCGTGTAAAATTATTCGAAGAATTTCAGAATTTGTTTGAAATCTGTGTTTTCGCAAAATTAATTGCTGGTACTGAAAGAAGTGACGAATAAAATGATATTCATCTAATTCAGCGACGGCTGAACGAAATTGTTTTTCGTTATTTTTCATTTACGGTCTATTAATTGATTTTTATTTTTATGGAACAGAGGGCTATCTGCTTTAACACTTTTATAGTTAGGCGCGTGGCAAAGCGGTAATATTTTTTTATTTATGAACGAATCCCCTATAGGCCGATGGGGACAAACACAGACACAGGAATTGTGCACTTATTGTTTGTGAAAAAAAATGATACGCAAATATACGTGTTTTTTGAGGGGTTTTGTTGGAGAAACGCGCACATGCCTAAACAGTGAAGTATAACAATAGATGCTGCGCAGATCGTCGTCATCACGTCAATCGCCACCATCGTTTCGACCTATCAGCTGCCATCACTCGCCCTGTATAGTGTATATACATTATTATAATTCATATTGTTTTAACAATGACAATGTAATTTTGGGTTAGGTTAAAGCTGTTCCACAGAATATTTCACAAATACCTTTGGAGCGTGTCCCACTTTAACCTAGAGATGGTACCTACTATTATATATATATATATATATCATATTATGCCTGCGCATAACGACGTTATCGATTGCTGCGTAGGATATAAATTATATGTCATCTACAAGTCCAGGGGAGGGGGAATAGACGTTTGAAAAATTATGTCGTTTGAGTGCACTACCAATTAAATACATGTATATATTCATATTCACGCAGACGGTCCGTAAAAGCAGCTCAACGTGCGTTGCATTATGAAGGTCTATGCATTCTCGTAGATGTTTTTTTTTTTTAATTTTATGCAGGTAAATTAGTTTTTTTCTGTTAAATGACTAAGATTTTATGCTGCATTAATCACCACGTCGGCCATTGACACATTTTTCTCATGATTAAAATTATAACACGAATCCATGATAAATAATTATGGCATAATATGCAACTGCGTAGAGCGTAGGTAATAACTTATAATACTGTCAGTGATTATTCTATTTACAATTACAATACATTAGGTAATATTATATCTACTCGTATTTACAGCTGGATATTTATATTTTTACATTGCTTCACGTAATTAAGGTTTGAACACATTTTTAATATTATATATTCATAGTAGGTACCTGTACAATGTAAATGTAAATGTTGTAAATATAACAGATTTTAACAAAATGTATATGAGAATATACCTATAAAATATAAAAATTATACATTTAAATTATATTATATAGGTAAAGTCGAGTAGCTCAAATCTCGATGAGGATAAAAACAGATTTGACATATGTGTTTTTCAAGTTGATTACGTTAAATATAACTTATTAATATTTCAGAGACAAGATGATATATTAAGAGTTATGAAGGTTTTTGAGTAATCGCGACTCGATAGTATATATAATTTTCAAAACGGACATCGATTGATCGACATAATACTATAACGGGCGTAACAGAAATGCTATGATAGTGTAATTTTTCAATTAATGAATATCAATTTCATGAACATCGATCATAACCTGAAATTTGTTGCTATAGTTTGTTTATTTAATGGATATACATTTAACATTTAATCAATTTCGTGAAATGGAAACCATCATTTTGCATTTAGCGTAATTTTGTTTTTTAATATGTCGTTCATTAATCATTGATTGTCCATTTAGCAAATTTACTTCTTTTGGAACAAAAGTAAAATAGTAATTGTTTTTACGTGGCCGTTAAAATAATTTATTTTTTCTCATACAGTCACCCGATCTATCTTGCATTCTTGCGTTACCAGCTCATTAAATACTTTTTTTTCACTACCTAGTATTCATTATTTAACATCAGCTGGATAGCTGATACAGTTTTTACTAAATTACTGTTAACATTTATTTGTTTCTCTCGGTGCTAAATTAAAAAAAAGTTCGTAATTTTTTCCAGATTTGTTCATAGACTGGAAAATTGATTAATGCGTATAATTATAATTTGTGGTTTTAGTATAAATATGGTGAAATATAGACAGTGAAGTTGTACAACATCGCAAGTATATATCTACTGTTGTTATTGGTAAAATAAGTTTGTAGTTTGAATGCGTAA